GGATCTTTGCTGTGGAGGGACGGCGTGGTGCTTCTGCCTAGAGCGCCATTTTGCCAGAACTCCTCATTGGGTTTTCAAGGCTGGCTGTAGCAACATTGAATTCTTTCACCCAGTATTGTGAGGAAAAAATCATATATATTTATATAAGCATATGTATGTGTATATATATATATACATACACATGTATGTGTATATACACACACATATATACATTTATCTCTCCTTTACCCAAAGGGGATTCTGAAGTTTCTCTTTTGTAAACAACTATTAAATTGTGCAATTAATCACAGATGAATACTTACAAAATTGTTTAATAATAAAGATATTGCTGCTTAATATAACTTAATTATCTATTTAAGTATTTATCATAGTTGAGTAATATATGGAAAAGGGGAACAAATTAATATGGATACCCTGTTTTGACTCAAAGTGTTTTTATTATGATGTTGCTTAAATAGCTTCAAATATCAATCTAGATTTGCTTATGTTTATATATATGCAACACCAATTAGAGTTGAATTAAAATCATTAAAGTAATGTGACATGATGTTTTACTGAAACTAAATCTCATCTTGCGATAGAATTATGGTACTGACTGTTACAGAGTATGTATGTGCATGTGCATTTTGTGTACTTGTACTACCTGTTCCAGATATTGATGTAATTAAATGAAGTTTACATTGCAAGTTAGTCTCCCATACAGAATTTTTTTTTTTTTTTTGTAACAGACGCTGTTATGAGCCCCAACCACTCAACCTATTCTGCGACAGCACACTCCTCCCCTCCGCCCCTGATTCCTCCTGAACATTCAACCAGCTCCTTACTCTCTCTGCCTTCCCCTCTAACCTCTGGACAGAAGCCACCCCTTTGGTCTCTTTACCTCTGCCAGATAATGACACAATTCTCCCACCACTTTTCCTTGTTAATGTTACCACAAACCTCCATTTGTACAGGATGCCATCTGAACTTTACTTAGCCCAAATTGTTATTTACATATTAAGTCAGCAGTCCAAATTCTCATTTACATATTAAATCAGCATCTGTTCTTATTAACTCGTGTCAAAGTCGTACTTCTTGTAAGCCAGCAATATTACAACTGCAAACGTGAGTGTTGAAAGCTCCTGAAGTCAGATGATTCAAAAAAAATTTTTTTTTGGAAATTTTAAAAATATTATCTTCGCAATGAAAATATAACATTTAAATATTCACATTGAAAATTCATGGAATGTCAAGAATATGTGATCCTGGGATCCAGGTTTGAGAAAAGACAGTTTTTTTCTAAAACAAAATTTCTTCCATGGTGACAGTAAAACAAATATAGAGGTGTTATATAGTATTCAGATCATCTGTGAATAAATAACAGTATGAGGTTGACCGTGTTTTCCAGTTAAATAATGTTACAGAATATGATATGTTTTGTTTGGTGGAAACTCTTGATAGTATGAGCACTAAACCTATGGTGAACAGCTGTTCACTTTATCACGTCTTCATTATTTCATAGTGACATGTACTTAAAGAACAGTTAACACAGTCTCTTGAAGTATAAGTTCAACTTCTATGATTTAAAAGACATAAAGTATAAATCTAACAATCTTGAATTATTCAATTTAGGAAAAATCTCTTGCACTGCTATGAAGTTATTCCTGAAAATTCTGTGTGCAAGCTTTATTTTGATTTGGAATTCAACAAACTTGCCAATCCAAGAGCTGATGGGAAAAAGATGGTTGCATTACTCATTGAGGTAAATAATAGACTCAAGTTTTTCTCCTTATATCTATCCATATGTCTCTTCATTCACTCATTCATTCATTAAGTAAATCCAGTCTATGTGATATATAGGTTATGAAATACATCTCCTTTTTCTTTCTACTCTTCCTTTTGACTTTTATTTCTTAACATCACTTCTGTAAATAAACTGTGAAAGGAGGAAATATTCAGTTTTGTCCATATATTTTGTAATATTACTATATGTGGTTAAATCTTTGAGAAAGATAGCACTTTGGGGATTTTCTGCATTTTTTAATTATGTATTCTCTTACCGCCATTGGAAATAGCTGACTCTGGTAAAGGTCAAGGTAATTTTTACTGTAAAAATGAGGTACTGTGAACTTCAAGAAAACTTTGATAACAATAGCATCAGAATTTTTGAGCTGGCAGGAATTTTGGAAATCATTTTATCTTGCATCTTGATGAATGAGGAAACTATGGGCTTCAGAAATTAGCTCCTATACAAGATCCTGTAGCTACTTATTGACAAAACAGGTTTAGAAATATGGTTATCATTGTTTTCAGCAAAGAGAAAAGGGTATCGTTCTCGTATATATTTTTGAGTTAGATTTTTTATGTTTAAAAAATAATTTTAAAATGTATTGCATTTTTCTGCACCTCTGTCCAGGACCCTCTGTTGTGATCCCTGTCAGACCAGTTAGTAGTGGCATTATCTAGTTGTGCTGGATTCATTCTGGTGGAGGCTGTAGTAGTTGTGGTCCATTAGTCCTTTGGACTAACATTTCCCTTGTGTCTTTGGTTTTCTTCATTCTTCCTTGCTCTTGATGGGGTGAGACCAGTGGAGTATCTTAGCTGGCTGCTCACAAGCTTTTAAGACCCCAGATGCTACTCACCAAAGTAGAATGTAGACCATTTTCTTTATAAACTATGTTATGCCAGTTGAGCTGGATGTTCCTTGAGACCAGGGTCCCCAGCCCTGAGCCCAGTAATTTAGTCCCTCAGGGAGTTTGGATGTGTCTATGGAGCTTCCATTACCTTGTCTTAGTCAAGTTGTGCTGACTTCTCCAGTATTGTGTACTGTCTTACCCTTCGCCAAAGTTACCACTTATCTACTGTCTATTTAGTGTTTTCCCATCCCCACCTCTCCCCTCCCTCATAACCATCAAAGATTGTTTCTTTTTGTGTGTAAACGTTTTCATGAGTTTTTATAGTAGTGGTCTCATACAATAGTTGTCCTTTTGAGATTGACTTATTTCACTCAGCATAATGTTGTCCAGATTCATCCATGTTATGAGGTTCTTCGCAGATTCATCCTTGTTCTTTATCATTGCATAGTACTCTGTTGTGTGTATGTACCATAGTTTGTTTATCCATTCATCTGTTGATGGGCATCTAGGTTGCTTCTATCTTTTTGCTAATGTGAACAATGCTGAAATGAACATGGGTGTGCATGTGTCTATTTGTGTGATGGCTCTTAAACTATTTTTTCTTTTTAATGTTAACTGAATAATAATTTTAAATAACCAATTTTATAATTTTAAATTATATCCAAAGTAAAAATCTTTTTATTGTGCTTTAGATGAAGGTTTATGAGTTTCTCATTAAACAGTACACATATTGTTTTGTGACACCGAATTAAAATGTTTTTGATAAAAAGGATACCTGCTAATTATGTTGGACATCTACATGTTTTGAGTTTAAATTTATTTGAAAATGTATGCAAATACTAGTTTTTAAAAAAGCGAGCTTAAGTATATTAAGTTCTCCCCCCCAAAAAAAAAAACCCAAAACAAAAAAAGTTACGTTTTTCTTAAAAATAACTATTGGACTCTTAAAAATAAATGTAAATGTTTTATTTCATTATAGTTGGTAAATTGTGTTTAATATTTAACCTTATTTATGTTTTTAATAATACATAAATATTAACTTTATGATGTGTAATACATTTCTAAAATCTAAGATAGGATTTATTGTGTAGGCTCTGTATGGCTGACAAGAAATTAAGATTCAGAGATTTTTCAGTGGTAATTTAATACGGTGATACCACAAATAAAGAAGTACCCATTTGTAACATAGATTAATAAACACTGGTGTGTCAAACAAAGATCATGTAGATGTTTAAAATTTTTCTCTTCTTAATTCCTTACACCACATTATCCAAATAAGTTTAGAACAAGTAATCTTCTACATCAGCAAAAGTTGGAAAAGTTGTAGAAATGAGTTCAAAAGTATACAGTAATATTACTTAACATGTTTACCACATTGATAGAAGAATTTCTATTAGGACTATTTTGTTTAATACAACATGTTTGTAAGTGATTACATTGAAATTAATTAATTTCATTTATTGGCTAATTTGTATGTAACAAGTTTACAATCCAGTAAGTACTTTTTCTTTTGATTCTTTCTGTGTGAAGAGGCATAAATTAGGTTTGTTCGTATCTTAACAGCTGGTTAATAAATAATTGGTTAATAATAACTGGTGATAATATATAATGTACTTTGATTCAAAAACTGACAAATTTCAGTAAACCACTCTGCCAGTTAGAATGAGTTCTAGTGCTAATGCGTTTTATAAAACCATGTAGAATAGAAATATTGCTCAAGCAATCGTATATTTTTAACTTCTGGATTTTTTAACGTATTTACACTCCTCACTTATTGACATGATTAGGACTCAAAGACCAGGTTGTTATGCAAAAATCAGCATCATGCGAAAATGGAGGCTGACCACATCAAATGACAAAATGGAGAATGACTACATCATTACGTAACTGCCAAATTACATCATTACATAACTGCTAAACCACTGAGTATCATGGCCCAGCAAGTGGACACATAACCTTTACCATCACAGCCAGCATTACTCTTGCCGCGCACCTTGACATTCATTACTGCCAGACATACATCATTAATGCACAAAATACTCAGATAGTAGATTTTTTACTATTGCCATAAATGTGAAATGTTGGATAATGAGACAGTTCATAAATGATGAGTAGGTGTATTTAAATAACTTAAATTTTTTATTTAAAGTTTAACTTGGTAGAGAATTTAGGAGAGTATGATAGTCTTATATTACCTAAAGACTAATTAAAATTTTTTCTTTGTTGCTCTAGAATACAAACCAAAAAAAAAAAAAAAAAACCTGTTGCTATCGAGTCAATTCCATGTCATAGCAACCCCCTAGGACAGAGGAGAACTTCCCCATAGGGTTTCCAAGGAGTGGCTGATGGATTTGAACTGCTGGCATTCTGGTTAGCAGTCGAGCTCTTAACCAAACTAGCCTTTATTCATTTATCAGATTTTTTTCTACATCTACTAAGTGCCAGGCAATGTGGCAGGTACTAGGAATATAATGGTGAATCCAAGGAGACATGGTTTCTGCCTTCACAGAATTTATAATCTAATGGAGGATGTAGGATAGGCTAGATTTAGCTGCCTAGTAAAAACCCAAGAGTAAAGTGGCTTAAACAAGATACAAACTTATTTCTGTCTCACATAATATCTGGATGTGGCTTCATTGTATTAGGGACTAAGCTATTTTTCTCTTGTTTAGCTATCTCTAGATGTTGTCTCATTCACATTGTCCAATATGGTGTACCACCACTATGTTTGCATTCTAGTCAGTTAGAAAGTGAGGGAGGGGAAAATATACCCCTTGCTTTTAAGAGTATAACTTGGAAGGGGCATACACTGCTTCTAGTCATATTCCATTGACCAGAACTTCATCACATGGCCACACTAAATGCAAGGGGTTCTGGGAAATACAGTCTTTATTATTGATGACCATGTGTCTAGCTAAAATTTGGGATTCTGTTTCTAAAAAAAAAAAAAGGAGATACTGGGGAATAGCCTCTGTAATACAGAGGAAACAGATATAAAAATAATCACAAATTAGCATAAATTGCAGCTGTGTAAGTAGTACAAAGAGAGATAAGGGAATTTGTTGTAGATAGGGAAGTTGAGGAAGACTTTTGAAAAAATAAGAATTTATTGAAAAGAGTACTATCGGAGAACACAAAGGAGAGTGTGGTGCTATAGTAATGCCAACAATGCCATTCACAAATAAACAATTCATTGCATAACTTAGGTACCTAAATGCTTGGCAGTTTACAAACATTTTTGCCGATCTGAAGATAAGCATGACAGTTCTTTTTTTTTTTTTTTATTGTGCTTTAAGTGAAAGTTTACAATTCAAGTTAGTCTCTCCTACAAAAATTTATACATACATTGTTATGTGACCCTAGTTGCTCTCCCTATACTGTGACAGCACACTCTTCCTTTCCACCGCGGATTTCCCTTGTCCATTCAACCAGCTCCTGACCCTCTCTGCCTTCTCATCTCACCTCTGGACATGAGCTGCCCATTTAGTCTCATGTATCTGCTTGAGCTAAAAAGCACACGCTTCACGATAACCATTTTATGTCCCATAGTCCAGTCTAATCTCTGTCTGAAGAGTTGGCCTCGGGAATGATTACGGTTTTGGACTAGCAGAGAGTCTGGGGACCATGTCTTCCGGGGTCCCTCCAGTCTTAGTAAAACCATTACATTTGGTCTTTTCACTAGAATTTGAGTTCTGCACCCCATCTTTCTCCTGCTCCGTCAGGGACTCTGTTGTGTTCCCTGTCAGGGCGGTCATTGGTGGTAGCCGGGCACCATCTAGTTCTTCTGGTCTCAGGCTGATGAAGTCTCTGGTTTATGTGGCCCTTTCTGTCTCTTGTGCTAATACTTTCCTTGTGTCTATGGTGTTCTTCATTCTCCTTTACTCCGGGTGGGTTGGGATCGATTGATGCATCTTAGATGGCTACTCGCTAGCTTTTAAGACCACAGATGCCACTCACCAAAGTGGGATGCAGAAAATTTTCTTAATAAACTTTGTTATGCCAGTTGACCTAGGTGTCCCCTGAAACCGTGGTCCCCAGATCCCTGCCCCAACTACTCTGTCCCTCGAAGTGTTTGGTTGTATTCAGGAAACTTCTTAGCTTTGGTTTAGTCCAGTTGTGCTGACTT